CCTGCCGCGGCACGTGAGTGCCTGCACATCCTAGCCTGCTGCACGCCTTCCGCTCTCCATCACCACGGGGAGGACCGGACGCCACGAGGCCACCACAAGACCATCGGGCAACGATACGGTGAGTCGCTTTTCGCTTGCTTTCGCTTTATTCGCCTAATTAAACTTGTGAGGGGATTGCCCCTCTGGTCCTTCGAACCGAGAAATCTCATCGACCGATCGCAAATCCGGGGCGATTAACACCCCCCCGAGCAGTCCTTGTGCTTAAAAAGCTCGAATTTGTTTGGTCCACCACACGAAATTAATTTAGTTATTGATATAGCTAATAGAATAAATATATCTTGCATATGTTCCTGCAAAGCAGGCCAGTCTGGTAAATGTAAACATAGTGTTGCCTTATTAATGCATTTAACTAGGTAAGTAACATTAACAATTTTATTTTTATATATTGTGATGCATAGACTAATTTATTTTCACATTCTTAAAGAACTGCTACCGAAGATATCGAAGAATCAAGCTGTACAAACGTAAAACAAAAATGGGGAAAATTAAAAGAAAATGCAAAATTGATGTATGAAGTTACACCAATAAAGAAATTTTGCCATAGTGTTCAACATCAGGATGCTCCACAAAATATTGAATGTATTCCAGAGCATATATTAAATAATATTTTTCAAATTTTATTACAAAGTAAGAAATTTATGCTTAAAAAATAAAATATGTATATATTCATACGTAAAAAATATGAACAAAATTTTTTAGGCGCTCCAGAAAGTGAATTAAGTAAAACTAAAAGGATACAGAAGTTCTGTTAATAATAAGCCTGTAGCATGCATGAATGTCATAAAAAATGAAGATTGTAGAGTTTTACTTAGTGCACAAATATATTTTCCTATCAAGAAAGATACGATTTTATATGTTACTCAGATAAATGATATTATTTGTAATATTACTTTGAAAAATATGCTTCCTCAAAAAAGAGAGTTCTACGAACAAAAAGTGTGTATTACAGTAGAAGATGCAGTTTTATTATGCAGTAATACTCAAACCTAAAAAAGCTGTAAATGGTTCGACGAAAGAAAGCAAAGGATCACTGCCAGTACTGCATATTCTTTCTTAACGTATATAAATAATAAAAATCCAGATTGGGATACTAAAATAAAAAAGCATTTAGACAATAAATTTGAAGGTAATGCAAGTACAAGATATGGGACACAAATGGAACCAAAAGCTAGAAAATGTTATGAGCGGTGCACAAGATTATAGTAATAGTGCAAACAGGATTATTAGTAAATCCAGTCATTCCATGGCTGGGATACAGTTTAGATGGAATCGTTGTAGGTAAAAAAATTATTGAGATAAAATGTCCCATTGTAGGGAAAAAACAAGGAGCAGCTGAAATGATAGCTAATGTCCCATGGATTGACCAAAGATCTGAAAATATTAGTATTAAAAAAAAACATTCATATTACTGTCAAATCCAATTAGGAATGTTTATAAGTAACATACACAAATGTGATCTTGTTGTTTACTCATCATTAGATGATAATTGTGTAATTATAAATGTTCAGTATGATAGTGAGTTAGTATTAAATGAATACATACCTAAGCTTCAAACAGTATATTTCATGCAAATTTTAAAACATTTGTGCAATGAAACTCAGTCCTAAAGACTCAAAAGAGATAGATAGAACATTACAATAATTACATAAAATATTGGATTTTATGCTAAAAAAGTTATGAGTAAATTATTAATTATTTTAGTTTATTTTATTGTTTTTTTATAATTTTTATAACCAGAAGTATTTTTGTTTAAAATATATTTATATCACAAGAAAGCAATGTTATAATAGTTTATTGAAATGGAAAATAATACTGTTTATACTTTGTATTTAAAAGCTATATATCTTTTATTAAAAACACTAATTTTTAATGTGATAAATGTTAGTTAAAATAATGAAAAGAAACGCTTAATGAAAGAAAATTCATAAATGTGACGAATATTTGTGATATTACATGTAATTTTTATTTAATAAGAAAGAAATGTAATTAGGTTAATTTACTGTGCTGTTAATATTTTTCTACTTTGTATTTTGAATGCGCTTTGACATTTGTTGAAAGCATCAATATCGGTAATAATTTCGTCCGCCAGTGAATAAAATCAGCAAATTCAATTTATTTCTCGATTAACTAGCGCAATATATACAAAAATGCACAACGTTTCGGCTCAAGATTCGAGCCCTTTTCAAGTGCGAACTGAAACTGAAACTGAATTTGCTGAAAGCATCAATATTTTTCAATTTAAATAATAAAAGTTCACAAATAAATTTGAGAAAAAATGTTATTTATTACACACTTATAAATTATAAACAACTATTTAAATTATTACACATTTTTTTGTTCAATTAATAAAAGGTTAATATAATCATTAATAATGTAGAGTCACATATTATTAACTAATACTAAGCAGAGAGAAACCTGAGAGCGGCCATCCGGCTTCGGGGGACGTCTGTCCTAATCTGCCCTCTGAGAAAGTGGACGTCAACTACGGCGTTACGCTCGGTAACGATCATAGAGATATAAGAATAGAGTGCGCGAGTCATATGCTAGCACGTAAGAGGCTGCGATATAGGAATAGAAAAAGAACGCTGCATATAGGCCCTTTCTGTCTTTGTCTACGCGTGCATGCGAAACAAAGACAGAAGGGGCCCATGCGCAGCTTTCTCTTTTTATTCTGCGCAGCTTTCTCTTTCTATTCCTACATCGCTTTTTCAGCTCGCTCGCGCACTCTATTCTTATATCTCTATGGTAACGATCAGAGAGGACTCGGGTAACGATACATGGGTTCGTATCCATGCTATAGTTCGTGTCCGAACTACTCAGATGGAAGGGATATGCTGGTCGCGCAAGCCCCTCCTCTGTCCGTGTACGCTAGACCTAAACAAATTTAGCCCCCCCAAGTGGACTATTGATATATTTTTTTTACCAATCGTTTGGTGGTTGATTGGTAGTATTTGGTACCGTATTCAAAACGTTCGGTAGTTTCTCGTTTTTCTAGGAAATCAAAAACAAATTTTTGATCTTTTTTTAGCCCCCCCACTTTGACTGTGGTAGTTTTTTTTTTTTTTTAATTGATTGGCGATTGATTGCATGGCAATGTTTGGTACCGCATTAAAAACTTTTGGTGGTTGCGCGTTTCTTTAGAAAATCGAAAAAACAAATTTTTGATCTTCTCTTAGCCCCCCCACTTTGACTGTGGTAGTTTTTTTTTTTTTTTTAATCAATTGGCGATTGATTGGCAATGTTTGGTACCGCATTGAAACCTTTTAGTAGTTTCGCGTTTTAAAAAGAAAGAATTAATTGTCAACAAATTTTTAACCTTCTTTAGCGCCTACACTTTGACTGTTGGGAATTTTAAATTCTTTTTTTACCAATCGTTTAGTGGTTGATTGGTAATGTTAAGAGCTGTAAGTTATTGAAAATTTTATTTTAACATTCCAGTTATGTATAGTGACGATTGCACACATTGTGGGCATTCAAGAGCGCATACGTATGTACACGCACTAGGCTCTGGGGTCACATGCGCATGCTCTAGGGCTTAAGCGCACACACTTCTGCACAACGCATAATGCGTAAGCATAAGAAAATTGGGTAAAAGTTTACAATAACTTACACAGCTCGGATTACTTTGACCTTGACATATGTTGTCAAGGACATAATACTGAGTAACTTTTTCTTATAACTTATTCGGCGGTCGCTTTTTATTAAAAAGTTATTAACAAAAAAAAGTTTGGCGACCTCACCGATTTCAATGACCTTGATATATGTTTTCAAGGTCATGACCCCGAGTGACCTTCAGAAGGTTTCAGCCGTTGCTCGTTATTCGTTAAAAAGTTATTAACAAAAAAAGTTTGGAAAATACGTAGGTTAGATGACGCGCTTTACAAGTATTTAACTGTTTAAAGCGCGTCACTAATCTACATAGGTTAGATGACGCGCTTTAACAGTATTTAATTGTTTAAAGCGCGTCAACTAACCCATGCGTAAACTATTTCAGGGCTACCACACCTCCCCCGAAAGCAGGGGGGGGTGTGGGTGAACCTCGGTTCGCGTAAAAAGTATATGCGTGAACTATTTCGAGGCTACCGCACCTCCCCCGAAAGCGGGGGGGAGGTGTGGTTGAACCTCGGTTCGCGTGAAAAGTGTATGCGTGAATTATTTCGGAGCTATCGCATCCCCCCGAAAGCAGGGGGGGTGTGGGTGAACCTCGGTTCGCGTGAAAAGTGTATGCGTGAACTATTTCGACATATATATTAGTCATTTATGCCTTCCAATACTCAAAATAGCTGCTATATTTTTCAAACTTTTTTTGTTTATAACTTTTTAATAAGCAGCGACCGCCGACTAAGTTATAAAGAAAAGTTACTCAGTATTATGTCCTTGACAACATATGTCAAGGTCAAAGTAATCCGAGCTGTGTAAGTTATTGTAAACTTTTACCGATAATTGATTGGTCTATTTTCTTATGCACATGTGTATAGACCAATCAATTTTCTTATGCTTACGCATTATGCATTGTGCAGAAGTGTGTGTTTCCCGCTTAAAGGCCATCGCACACAAAATGCATAGAACATAAACATAACATAGCATAAGCATAAGAAAAATACGCAATCTACACAAGTACGCATAGCTAGAGTCCTACGCATAGCATAACTTCACTCCAATCAGAGACTGAAGAAGAACCTCCTAACCTAAATATTATTGACATTTGTCAAAAGCGAGAGAAGTACGAGAAGTGCGCACAATAGAACACATATTAGGAAGAATTAAAGAATAATATTAAGAATCTTAAATATTAAGAATCGAAAATACAAATAATAATTAAACGTAACGCACAATGGAAAAGAATAAAATATAAGATAAATATAGGAAGATAAAGATAGGAACACTCCTTTATTACAGGATATTTCTGTATTTATATAGCATAATATTTAATATTTATTCTTATTCTTAATATATGCTTTATTGTGTGAAGGGCCTTTTGTATTAAATAATTAGAACTTTCAGTTGGAGACGCGGCGATATTCTAAGTTGTTACCAAAGAGAAAGTTAAATCGGCCAGGACAGTGCTTTCCTCAAATATCGTTTAATATAATGGACACGGATGACCCGGACGATTATATCGCACTTATCGCAGTAATAGCGTGTTATAAAATTTTACGAAAACGTAAGCGGAATAATGATAAACGATTATGGGTACGACCGATATATGCAGCTCGACCGCAATTTGGTGATTTCGAACATCTCTTTCAAGAGCTAAAAGAAGATCCAGTAATGTTCTTCAAATATACTCGAATGAATGTCTCTACTTTTTATAAATTAATAGATCTATTGCGACCTCACGTACAAAAGAACAATTGGAGAGCATTGTCAGCAGAACAACGGATTCTTATTATGCTCAGGTATTTGTAAATCTTTACTGTAGATATTGGTTTATCATTACAGTAAATGTTGGTTTTGCTACATAATTTTGTTTTATTCCAGATATCTTGCGACAGGTGATCAAATATCTTCAATTGCCTTTGCGCATAGAATAGGAGAATCGACTGCTTACAACATTATTAAAGAAACATGCAGAATAACAGTAAAAGTTTTAAGCCTCATATATTTAAAGTCGCCTACAGAAGAAAAATGGAAAGAAATAGTTGCTGGATTCTCAAATCGTTGGAATTTCCCCAATTGTCTTGGAGCAATCGACGGGAAACATTTTACCATCAAAGCACCACCAAATTCCGGTAGCCTGCACTTTAATTATAAGAAGTTTTTCAGTATTGTATTATTAGCTGCATGCGATGATCAGTATAAATTTACAATAGTAGACTGTGGCGCGTATGGTAGTGCAAGTGATGGCGGTATATTCGCACAATCTGATTTTGGGAAATGCTTAAATGATGATAATCTTAATATACCCGTCGAAAATTCTAAGTTACCCTTATCTGATATAGAAATGCCTCATTATTTCGTGGCTGATGAGGCATTTCCATTATCCAAACGAATAATGCGGCCTTATCCTGGGCATTTTCTAAGTGAGGCAAAGTCTATATTTAATTATCGATTATCTAGAGCCAGACGTGTTATTGAAAATACGTTTGGTATTCTTGTCTCAAGATGGAGAGTTTTTCAACGCTGCATATGTATGAATCCTGAGCACGTAGATGTAATAATTATGGCGGCAGTAAATGTGCATAATTTTTTAATGACGCAAAATAATAGTGCACCTAATGTAGAAAAAATTTACTGTCCTCCGAATTATGTTGACAATGAAGATAATATAGGACATGTTATACAAGGTGAATGGAGAATAGGTTTAAATAATGCAACTAATTTGCGACCTACCAATGTACGTAGAGTAGAGGGCCTCTAGATACGAGGGGCGCAAACTGATTGACTTGAAATTGCTGCACAAAAGAATAAAGCATGCAACATGGCGATCAATACCCAGTAAACACAAAGTAACTATAATATAATTGTTATATTATAATTTTCCACTCAATAATATAACTGTAATATAACATGCCTTGTACATAACAGTTATATTGTTGAGTAAGAAATTATAACAAAACAGTTATATTATTGTTACTTTGTGTTTACTGGGTAGTTATATTAAAATTATATTATTTTATAATATAATTTATTTTAATAAATAAAATATATATAATATATATAATATATATTATAATATATATGTATATATATATAATATATATATATAATATATAATATATATATATATATATAATATATATATATTATATATATAATAGATTACGGAAATGAATTAGAAAATAAATTTAGATTACGGAATGTAAGATTAGAGGATAGATATAGATATATATAGATATATATATAGATTAGAGGATAGATTAGAGGATAGATATAGATATATGTGTCGCTTGCTGAAAAAAATAAGATATGTATATAAAATAAAATTAATATAAAATAATCATATTATTTAAAAATATTTTCAAAAATACATAAATAAATATTAAACAAGTTCAAATCATGTTAGACAAAATCTAATACAAACAAAAATTTACCTCTTCCTTTTTCCTTAATCTTTTTCGTCGTATCGTTTTCAATTTATACAGCAAAACATATATTTTTCTCGTAAACTTGCGGTTATGCCTGTCATACTGTCATCTTTTTATGGGCTGACGTTATGCAAGCATGTGCTTATGAAAAGAATAAAGCATGCAATTCACGCGAGCCAATCAGCACTTAGATCAACTATTGCGTCCCTCGTATCTAGAGGCCCTCTAACGTAGAGCAGTAACACATGCTTACCTTCAAAGGGATACTCTCTGTGAATATTTGTCATCAGCACAAGGTGCAGTGCCGTGGCAAATTGATTATATTCGTAGAGGACGCAACAGGGATATGTCGTAAAAATGTATAATCAACTTGTTTTATAAACGTAATTTTATTTTAGAAATGTATAATAAAACCTTTTGTATTACAAATTATATAATATTTTCATTATCTGCCCTTTCATTTTAGTTTTTTCAGGTTCTGCGATTTTTTTCAATTGGCATGCAACAGTTTTACCAAAAATGTCTTCTTCATCTAATTGTAAGACTTCAGAAGGTATTGTATTTTGGTTCTTTTTTTCGAAATAAGTTGTTACCGCTGAAGTTAATTTTACAAGAGAATCATCTATTTCATCATCTGCTGTGGATTTGCGTTTAACTTTCTTTGCTAATTTTGTCGGTATATTTGATAAGGAAGAGTGTACAGACAATGCTGCAGAGTTCGCTATCTTTGAAGGAGAGTCAACAAGCAATGATGAAGATAATGTGTTACGATTTTTACATTGGGTCGGTGAAACTATTTCTCTATTAGGTGATACTATTTTTAAATTTGTGACAGGTAAAACTTCTTTCTGTTTTAATGTTTGTGAAAATTCTACTGAAGACACTGTTTCTTTGTCACTATATAATTCATCTGGGCTACGCAGTGCAGAAAACTCATTGTTGCTGTCTAATGATGTTTCTGAGGAAGAAAATGTTAAATGTGTTAATATTGATTCATGTACAGTATTTTCATAATACAATTCTAAATGTTTAACTGTACTTGTTTCCTCTGCAGATATAGGATTTATAGTGCATGCTTTACGTTGGTTACATATGTTTTTCTGAGAAGCAAGAATATCAATGTTATGTGAATGGGGTAGAAAGTCAGAACAACGGGAATGTATTGAGGAACTGCGAGAAACTTCCATTGCTGGTGTGAATCCACTCTTCAACATGTTTTCAGGTGATTTGTTGATTGTATCATACTTGTTGTGAGTGGATCCAATATTCCTTGATACACACCTATTTGAGGAACCTAAAATTTAAATTATATTTAAAACAATAACACAATATTTTCCAAATTAATAAAATTAATAGCTGTTTATTAACTAAAGTCACCTGATTTTTCTGTTAATACACTCTTCCTGATCAGACTTGATTGTTTGGTAGTTGAATGTGATATATTTGTTATAGATCTGAATAAAATAACAAATTATTCCAACATAATATATCTTATGGT